TTGGACGCATGGTTGGGCAACTCCACCTTGTCCTTTTCCAACACAAGGCTGGGCCCAGCAACGTCCTATGGGTCCTAGAGGGCAGCAAACTGGTGTCCTTGGCCCACGACCTCAACATGCCTACATGGGCTCTACAGTTGGGCAGTCCACTCCATATGCTCCAACAGATATTGAGTCTGCAATGCACACGATGTCCCTAAATCCGCCCGATCCGTCTTGGTACATGGATACCGGAGCCACTTCTCACATGACATCCTCTAATGGTAATTTCTCGTCTTATTTTCATTTGAGCAATCATAATAGTGGTATTATTGTTGGTAATGGTCAAATTATTCCAATTCATGGTTATAGTCACACTTCATTGCCCTCCCCTAGCCCTCCCTTATCCCTTAAAAATGTCCTACATGCACCCAAAATTGTTAAAAATCTGATTTCTGTCCGCAAATTTACTACTGATAATTCTGTGACGGTAGAATTTGATCCTTTTGGGTTTTCTGTGAAGGATTTTCAGACGAGGGTGCCAATAATGAGATGTGAAAGTCGGGGCGACCTTTATCCTCTTACCACTTCTATCAACAATCAAGCTTTTCCGTCATCTTTTGCAGCCATCTCCTCCTCACTTTGGCATGATCGTTTAGGTCATCCAGGGGCTCCTATTTTGGATGTTCTTAGACGTAATAAAAGCATTGATTGTAATAAACTCTCTAGTTCTAGCATTTGTCGATCTTGTGTTTTTGGGAAACATGTTAAGTTGTCGTTTGTTCTTTCTAGTTCGAGTACTTTTTTGCCATTTGATATTATTCATAGTGATCTTTGGACATCTCCCGTATTGAGCTCCATGGGGCATAAATATTATGTTTTGTTATTGGATGATTATTCTAATTTCCTATGGACTTTTCCATTAGCTAGGAAATCAGATGTGTTTGATAAATTTTTTGGAGTTCAAAGCTCATATCCTTAACCAATTTGAGCGTAATATTAAAAATGTCCAATGTGATAATGGGAGGGAATTTGACAATGGTCCGTTTTGGGAATTTTGTAAGAAAAATGGCATGTCCTTCCGTCTTTCTTGCCCTCATACCTCTTCTCAAAATGGAAAAGCCGAAAGGAAAATTCGAACTATAAATAATGTCACTCGAACTTTATTAGCACATGCCTCTCTTCCACCTTCTTTTTGGCATCATGCGTTACAAATGGCTACTTATCTTCTTAATGTGATTCCTAGCAAGTTATTAGGAAACCTCTCCCCTCTTCAAATTCTATATCAACGGGTTCCCTCTTACGCTCACATCCGGGTTTTTGGTTGTTTGTGTTATCCTTTAATTCCTTCAACTACAATCCACAAATTGCAACCACGATCAACACCTTGTGTATTTTTGGGTTATCCTACTAATCACCATGGTTACAAATGTTATGATTTATCATCAAACAAAAATATAATTTGTCGCCATGTGATATTTGATGAGCATGTGTTTCCTTTTTCACAAATGCATTCCCCATCCCAGTCCTCGTATGATTTCTTATGTGGTGATTTGTCTCCTTATACATTACATCATATACAACATCATGTTGCTTCTGATTCGTCCAAGCAACAATCCATGCAAGCACCACATTCTCCATCATCTACTGTTGGCTCCATTCCCACGCATGAGAGCCCAACATCCTCTCCTATTCCAAGCCCAGCCCACACGAGTCCAAGTCATAGTGCTCCCTCTGCTGGCCCAGCTCTTACCTCACCACCTAGTCTAAGCCCATCTCCACCCTCTAGCCCAACACCAGCAACCCAGACTCTAGCACCTACTCCTCTCATCTCCAAACAGCCCACTATGGTCACAAGAAGCCAACGGGGTATTTTTAAACCCAACAAAAAATATGACCATGCATATGCTACTAAGGTTACACGGTCACCACTACCTCGTAACCCAGTAGAAGCTCTTCGTGACCCGAATTGGAAATTGTCCATGGATGATGAATATGATGCTCTTACTAAAAATAAGACGTGGGAGTTAATCAAAGATCGTAAATAACAAACTTTTGTTCTTACTCATCCTTTGTCTTTCTTAGTTAGCCACACCTTAACCAATGCTTATTAAGAAAAACAAACATAAAATTAATCTCCAATATTCTAAATTAATCTACAAATCCTGGTCAAACGTTTATTATTGGTCCCTAACTAGTTCACTAGATTATGAATTAAAGATCCTTTTTCTATGTTCAAATTCTTCTAAGTGTATGTGATTTTCTCGTTTTGTGTTTAAAAAGTCATATAAATCCATTGAATATATATAGAATTTCTTGTAAAAGTTGGATATATTCACACTAATTTTACTTTACGTATAAATCATAATTTGTAGTCAAACAAGCATGATAAATAGTGCAAAAGTACAGTTGTTGCAATATTACTAGAACGAAGGAAGTAATACGTAGATAATTTCAATTTGATATGTATACGGCTTACAAAGATATCGTATAGGTTTGAAGCTTGAACTCTATGTAGAATGCCTTGAACCTATATATTATCAAATGGATGGAGTGAGCTCAAAAAAAAAAAAAAAAAAAAAAAACTTATACTATTATGAGTCATGTTTAATTGGCTTTTAATAAGTAGCTCAATTTAGTATGGTTAGATAATATTAAAATATGAAACCAATTATATAGGCTTGAGCTAATGTTAAATCTAATTTGATAGCTTAATAAGTACCAACTGTAATACATAATCCTTAGCCTTTTTCTCTTCAAACTTTATTTTGATGTTGAAATAATGGTTAAAACTCCCAACCATTGTGTATGTAACATATATACATACATCGACCAATATGGGTCGATAAGTATTAGTACAGTGTAATTACTGTTATTTCATGTTCTCTACAAATTATTAAATTATACAATTTCAAAAATATAAAGAAAAAGATGGTACAAGCGTTTATTCAACACAAATTAACTAGGAAAAAGAAATCAATACTTAAACTCTCAGAATAGCTTTCCACATGTTTTTCTTTTGGTAGTTCAAATGATTCCATCATTGATTGATTTATTTATTTATTTATTTTTATTTTAGGTAGGTTTTGTTTTCTCATTAGTCATTATTTGATGAATTAATAAGTTGAAGTAGGGATCAAAGTTGTTGGGTTTCTTGGGTATTATAGTTTGGGAGATTCAGTATTGTTATTACTAAATAAATTGGTTAATCACACGTGAGTCTATAAAAACTACGAATTATAAAATTGATTTGTATTATAGGCCCCTACTTCAAATGTGAGTATGTAGAAATGACTAATTGGCAAAGTGATCTAATAATATGGATTAAACAGTATTTTGATCCTTTATTTTATTGACATCACATAATTTCTGATTATTTAAAAAAAAAAAAAAAAAAATTAGAATTTTGACCTCAATTCTCACGATTTCTTTGGTCCAAGAGATTGATTGATTGATTGAATTTCCTACTTTAAGGTTGAAAGGTGTAATTTTCCTATTAGACCAATCTTAATTAATGTCTTTGAAGGATAGTGATATTTTTTTTTTTTCCTTCTAATCCTTCGTTTGCTATAATGGGCCGTTGTGGGTGTAAGGCAATATCACTTATTGTATCTTTTCTTTATTGGGCCTAGTTGTAGTTATTTGGGCTTATTGCTGACTTCCATGTTGGACCGTAAACCTAGACAACCATGAACCATCTTTGTGATGAACTGATTATATTGCTCAGTTTGCTCATGTAACTGGGTAGGTTGTTCAAGAAATAGGTTTTTTTTTCTGTTTTTTTTTGGTACATAAGATGAAGAGTCCTAGTAGGATGAAATCCCTCACGACTTCACTAGTCAACACAACCTAGGTTAACGGATTTGACAATTTGGGAGAGTGGGGAAAAAGGTAAGGGAATCCCTTCCGTGATTACCCTTTGTGAGGATTGAACCTTCAACCTGATGTTGGAAGGTACTCTCAATTCTACTAAGTCGAGGTTAACTTGGTCTAAGAAACAGAAATTGGATGTCTAGCAATTATGGAGTAATTTGCTTTCTACGTAGTACTTTTGTTGGTTCTTAGACTTTTTACACATAGGATAGCCAAGATTGACACAAATGAAAAGGTGAAAATAGTTAGTTTATAAAACTAGTTGCATTCATCATAATATATGTTCATAGCAATATAAGTATCTTTTTCAAAATACTTCGTATATAATAAACTAATACGGAGTATCGGCCGTACGTATTTTGTCTTCACAAATTTTCACTTAGCTTTAGTGGAGTTCTTAATTAGTATTGGCAATAAAAGCTTTATGAAATTATCCACTTTGGACCAAATATATCATTCCATTTGTCTTAGAAAACCCAAATTCTAAACCTTTTCTTTTATGGTTAGAAATCTCAACTCCAATACACGCAATTGCGATATGAGGCACAAACTACAATCATTTTCATGAAGTAGATGTCATAACATTTGAAAATGCAATATGAACATTTAAAATATGACCATCTTTATAAGTTGCGGAGCAGTAATTTGAAAATGATATACATATCGAGTGATTGTGAGCAATACAAATCATATAATGAAGACACTATGTTAATTTTGTAAACCCTAAAACATAATTCAAAAAAATACAAAAAGAAATCATAATAAAGATTCAAGCTAAGAATGCAAAAATTGAGTACTATATATCATTAATGTAATCGGTCAAAATAAATAAGGAGTACAGGTTTGGCTCATCAAACTAATTTTATCTTATTATTATAAAATTTCCAAACACAAATTTGAGATCTGACAATCGACCGTTCATGGCTTGGTGAGTGATTTTTCACAAAATGTGCTCAATCATAATTCATCAAGATGTGACAAATTTTATATTTTTCTTATCTTCATAAATTCATTAATTTATTTTGTAGGACCCCCATTCATCTCAGAGATGAACGTTTGGTGTTTATCTCGGGGGTTTATTCGTCATTTCGCAATTATGACTAAGGGTATAATTGGAATATTAAAGTTAACAGAAGGTGACTCAGAAACGGCTGTTTTTATTGAACGTTATCCTCGACCAAAGTAGACTAATGGAAACCTAGGAGAGAGAATGTGACATACGAAATGTTGATGTTCATTCATGGTGATAGTTGAGATAAAAGAGGCGAGTGTAGAGGTGGATCGAGAACAAAGGGTCGCAGAATCCGGCAACCCGTGATGATCACTTTTCCGGCCTTGTTACCAGAAGGGGGATGTTGCTGTATGGTCTCCGAGCAAGTTAGGTGGGTCTCCGTGTTGGTAACCCGGAAACGTGGTCGATATCTTTGTATTTGATGACTGGCTGTAAGTAGTAATTGCGTTTGTTATATTTAATTCACATTTTAACGTTCTAGCCTTTTAATAATTAGTCCCGACTGAGTGTTGTTGAGCTTGCTTATCTGTTTGTCGAAGCTCAACGAATGTCCTGCATGAATTGAATGTTCCTAAATTATGAATTGAATTGTGCTAATTAACCAATTGATTGTCCCGCTAATTAATGAATTGATTGTTTACTAAGTTATGTTGAGGTTGTTAAATAGAAGCGACTGAGTTATGCTGAGCTTCCTAATATGCTTATAGAATCAATCGATTGTCCTGCAATTTGAACAATTGAATGTTGGTTAATTAGGAATTGAATTCGGCAAATTTAAATTTAACAATTGAATTTTGCTACCAATTGATTGTCCTGCTAATCAATGAATTGATTGTATGAATATGTGTTGCTATACTGCTAATTATGCAATTGATTGTTATTTTGATTAGTATGTATTTTCTTTGCATAAATGGTTACTTTGTATTAATGTTATTGAGTTATGCCTGACTTTGCCTATCTGAGCATCTTCACTTTGCAGTATGTGTCCAGGTTTTAGGACCCTTATTCTTTTTTTTTGAAGAAACATTGAATCTTACTATATAGGAAAATAGTCAATATAGTTGCCTTGTGACCAGTCATATTCTTTAATCTAATTTATGAATCTTTGCGAGGGAATTTTAGGTAACATCTTCTGATTTTCATGCTTGAGTTGATTTTGTTTGCAATTCATCGTACAATGTCAGATGAAGTGTTGGGGATTCTATTTTGAAATTCCTGGTTCTTTGGTTCATTGGTTTACATTCCTGGGTCTTTATTGTGCTATTTTCGTATTTAACCATTTGAAACTCTCTGTTTTGGAGAGCGTTTCTTTAAATTTTGACATGTTGACCATTCTACATTTTAGAACGTCTGGTCTCATCTTCCTTTTGTACCTAGCCCATTGTCGAGGTCTTCATGTAGGTGATTATGACTATTCCAATCCCTTTATCTTATGTTGTCGATTGAAGCTATCGTAGATTAACAAGCTGAGTAAATTATGTGCAGTTAATTCACATAGGAGAATGTCTTCCTTGCAGTTAATTCACATAGGAGAATGTGTTCCTTGGATGATGGGTCTGGTATAAGGTGGTATGCGTTATCTAATTTTCAAGTTTTAGTCAGAGGTAGTGGTTAAATTATGAACTTGTTTCTACATGTGATGGTGCGAACTTATTTGGTGAATACAGGTTAGTAATGGATCTAGGCAACCGCATATGAAAGGGCTGCATACTGGATTAAATGGAAATTTTTTTTTTATTGATTGTGTTGTTTAATTGATTGATTGGTTGATGTTGCTTTACTTGTTTGATACCCTTGAACCCTATTTTGTCCTAGGGTTTATCAGCTACAAACCCTTTACTCCTCTTTGTTCATATTCAATTGTAGATTAACTAATTGTGGAACTTACAATGTGTAGATATCATTCTATTGGGAGAAATGTCTGTAGTTTAATATGATATTGTTGCTGAATTTCACAATTGATGTTTATTTTGTTGTCGAATTTGAGTAGATATCATTCTATTGGGAGAAATGTCTGTAGTTTAATATGCTTGACCACATCAATGGTTTAACCTTATTCGTTAGAGAATTTATTGTCCACACTATATTGCTAGATCTGCGTATGTCTAATTGATTAGGAAGGGGTTTTAGAGCAGGTGTGATCAAGGAGATCCAATTTTACTTTATTAACAATCCATAGTTTTGGCAACATTTTTGAGTTTTTGATGTTCCACGCCTGATGAGTTATAGAAGGCACTCTATAGAAATGTTTAATTCAGTATTGAACCCGGAAATTAACCTAGTAACGCTCCTTTCTGCACTGTTAGCTGTTATAATAAATAAAAAGGTCTTATACTTGGATCTCAATAAAGTACTATTCCTTTTAACAGTTATAGTACTAAGAATGAACACAATAGCAACTTTATCTGGGGCTGAGAGTGAGGGGAAAAAGGTTTTTCATGGTAGGAATATAAGATGCTTCTTGGAGTCTTAGGAGGCATGATTATCGTGAAGTATTGGAGTTGGGGCGATGGAATACGGTTGAGGCGAGCAGCTGGGATTATTCTGTCAGGTTTACTTTGTCTTGTGGTTATATGAAAGGTCTCAATGATGCGCGAAGAGTATGTAGAAATTGCTGGTCTTGTGTGCTGTGGAAAACACTCTAGGCACCATACTGGTGGGGCTGTTGGATTATGCTCCCTTGTATGTATCCTAAATAACTACATTTATGGCTCTAATTTCAAAGGTACGGTTTTTGATTACTTCTTCATCAAATGTGTGATGGTGTCATTATAAGAGTGCATTATTGTGGGGAATATTTTCAAGCCTTTAAAATCCCACTAGCTTGAACCCCACTGTGATCATACACTAAAGTACGGTGGCGTCCAAAAGGGAAAAAGATAGAGCAAAAGAGTCGCCAACAAGTTTTTAAGGAACTTGTAAACCGTTCACGAGGTGAAGGTTACACCCCTTAACGATCCAAAAGATCGTCAACTCCATAAGGTCATGAACCAAATAAGGGTTCGGGGATGAAGGTACAAATCCAACCTAAAAGAGATTGAACCTGCCCTAATAATAGACCTCTACTTTATTCTGCTCGTATTCATGTGCGCTTTCTGACTAACATACAATCAATAGGATTAACCCTAAACCTGTTTAATCTATGTTGGTTGAATTTAATTCACAAATAAATTACGCGGTTTGACTCGGGTCATGATATGCCACTTTTACACGTGTGTGCCTCCGCATCACATCTTTGCGCCACCGATCAAGTACATATTTCGATGGTATTTCATTCACCAAATTTTCATCAAAAACTCTAATGATATGCTTGCAAAGAATCCCATCCTTTTCAAATTTCCTGCAATCACATGTTATGTCTTTGGTAACGGGATTAAATACCAGAGAGTACAACCTCCGATGATCAGTGATTATTTCTTCATTTGATCCTTCCGGAATAATCCATACTCGATCTGAAAGCAGATACTGAATTTCAACGTCACTTATCACAGTCTCAGATTTAGGAACTACGTACAACATTCTAGCACATTCTCTTTGCACTTCTTGGAACTTCGCATCAGTGTAAATTTGTTGGAAGTATCTCTCTGCTCTGAACCCACTCACAAGCCGTCTTATGTATTTTGCATCCCTTGCATCTGCATCGGTCTCATCACCAACCCTCTTCTTCATTGCAGCTGAGTACTTTTCGGGGAACTCGCACAACCTTGTTTTACGGGTGACAAACCCATCAAAAAACCTGTTGATGCTCTCAACCCTCTGCGTAGTTTTCATACCGGCCCAAAAGAACTCTTTCATCCAAGCTGGCACCCACATGTGCCGCTCTACAAACAATTCTTGAAGCCATTCATTGTCCTCCAAACCATACTTCTTCATTGCTTCACACCATCGGGTCTGGAATTCTACGGTAGTGAAACTATCGTAAACAATATTCTTCAACGGGCTCTTGAAATCATTGTACCTGTTTGCTTCAAAGTGTTACTGACCTCCATACACTTGTAGCCTTAAATACATATAGCAATTTTTTCAAGGACCAGGAGTTTACAAAAGCGCTCAGCATTTAAATGTAGAAAAATAGGCATTATTCACTTATACTAAAGCACTGAATATATCTAATCAGTTCAAGATCAGCAACATACAAGTTATCCATAAAATTATTTAAGACGCATAAAAAATGTCATATCAGATAAAGTTAAATTTCAGAAGACTTCAGAATCAGGATATGGATATGCCGTGAATCAATATAATACCCTACTCCTACAAAAAAACCCCATCCTCATTTTACACCAGAGCATTGCTCCCAAAGCCTCATATAGAGCTACACTCCTTCTGTTTAAGCTTATAAAGATAGACATGTTGTGCCATCTAAATGGCCATCTCATATACACCTAAATGGCAACAGATATTATCAATTACACCATAGCAGGTACTGACTCTCTTGATACATAGCAGGTATCAATTATAACACCATTTCACTGACAAATATGGCAACATCATACTGCACACAACACAACAAAAATAATAGCAGAAAACTTAAATGGAAACAAACATACCAATATGATATTGCAAACAACACAACAAAACAACCACAAAACAGGTGAAGATTCTTCAGAACAAAACAAAAAGAAATCTGAAAAGTTTCATTATAAACACAAAAACAATTTTAATAAAACCAATCTAGAAAACTTACATGGCACACCTCCCAAGTTTGTCAGGAAATTTCCGGAGAATATGCCATATGCACCATCGATGGCGTGTATTAGGCATGACTTCAACTAATGGCTTCCTCATAGCAGGGGCTTGGTCAGTTAGGATGGCAAGAGGGGCTTTATTGCCCATGCACAACAACCATTGTTTAAATAACCATCGAAAAGTATCACAATCTTCATGAGAAACTAGGGCACAACCTAATAAGATCGACTGGCCATGGTGATTGACTCCTACAAAATTAGCAAATGGTAGCTCATACTCATTTGTGAGATACGTGGCATCAAAGCAAACGACGTCACCGAAGTCTTCATAAGCTACACGGCTTCGAGCATCAACCCACATGACGTCCTTTAAACGACCTTTATCGTCCAACTTATGTGCATGGTAAAAATTCTGATTATCGGCTTGCATGGAATCAAAGTAAGCCATCATGGCTTGAGCATCTCCACCGGCCATCTTAAGCCGCCGTTGTTTGTAAACCTCATGCTGCATATCCTTCACATTAGGCAAATTAGGATTTTCCGTGCCTAAACATCGACGTAATACACTCACAGGTACACCCACCTCATAATAATTCACCAACCGCTTGCGAACAGTGGAGGTCATCTTCTTCATACGGTACTCTTTCACTAAATTTGCCATACTTGGACACAGATCATGATTATGCTCCAACTCCACTCTTTGCAACACCCAAAGCCCTTCACGATTCACACTTCCATATACCCTAGCTTTACAATAACATTTTTTAGATTTCCTTTTCCCACGTGATAGCTCTGCCTCCCCTATTACACCATTCACATTTCCTCCACAACCGCCAACATCCATTTGCTTCGCCCTTTTCTTAGCCTCTCGCTTCGCCCTCATATCCGGTGCACCATAACATTCACACTTCCAAGTGATTCCCCTTCTCTCTTTACTAGTAGTATATGATCCTTGAACCCGGCTAACCCCAAAGCCACACTCCTCAGCATATAGTTTGTAATAACACTCAATATCCTTCCATCCTTTAAAAACCATTCCGACCTTTGGAGGTTCAATAGAGGTGCCTTCAATCACATCATTTGTTGACACTGTTGTATTTAAGGTCTCTACACTCTCAACTGGGGAACCTTGATGGTTTTGACTACAAGAGTTGTCATTGATACATGGTAAAGGAGAATTGTATTCAACGGTCTGTGAGAGGGATATATTATCCAAGTTCTCTTCATCCAAAGTAATATTGCCTTCATTTTCATTATCATCTACACATATCTCCATCAACGTACCAATATCATCACACCCCACCCCTCCTAAGGGACTAAATCTGTCTGCATCCATTTCAAAATTCTCATCCATTACCCACAGCTACCAATGACCACCAACAGCAGAATTTAACACATAACTAACTGCAAACTATATAAAACACATATTATGTATCATCAACTACAGCAGTTTATAGAATAATGCAATATCAGTAAAGACAGTAATCAAACACATAGGAAACACATATAGGCCCAAAAATTCAGAAATAAACCTAATCAAAATCGCATTACCAAAAATTCAGAATTTAATTCACATTACCAAAATTTCAGAATTCTTTCACATTACCAAAATTTTCAGAATCAATTCAGAATTCAGTTCACCCAAACTGCATTACAAATAATTCAGAAAACAATTCAGAAATGAAGTCACCCATATAGCAATCAGAATTCATAATTCATACAATAACAATTAGAAGAATATACCACTACACAGGTCGCAAATCAAAGGTTACGACCAATTCACACTACAAATTGTCGAAATTAAATTAGCAACGGCGATATTAACTACGTACACCTCAACTACTGAGGACATTGAGCTTACCTTTATAAGTGACAACACCTTGCATCCAGGCCGAACATCAACGAATGAATTCGTCTGAAGGGCAGTGGGAGACCAAAGTTTACGAATCCTCCATAGATCCAAGCTCCGGACAGCTTACCCTTCGCTACTTTCTGGGTGGGTTTAGTTTGGTGAAGAAAACAAAGAGAGAAGGGCAACAGCGAACAGGGCAAGCTCGATTAGAAAAGTTTCTGGTGTTTTGCTTGTTTTCCAGCAACTACCCCTCCGTTAAATGGTCATGTAACGTCGTCAATTCACTAAAATAAGGACCCCACCTCTTGGTATTTAAAAATATTAAAATATGCTTATGTGGCTTGTGTGATAAATGAGAATTGATATCTCTGAGATGAACTCGAAATCGCCGATTTTGTATATCCCAATAAATGAAAAATGGGCCTACAATTTAAACACTAAGATCTGGAAATACCCTTCTGACATACCAATGAAATAATTATAAAAAATTTGTCACAAGTCACAAGCCACAAGCCACAAGCTAAGTGTTATGTTTAAATCTATGATGATAATTGATGCCCCCACATTAATAATTGTATTTTTCACTGAGATGGTAATTTCATTAATATGTTTTGCAAATTTGCAGTGACCAAATTTTGGGTTCTATTTGCTGCAGTGCCTGCAGATAGTCCTATTCACAACAATGCAAAATTTTTAATGGTCCCATTTCTCTAATGGTATACTTGCCTTTCAAACAATACATAGATATGAAGAATTGAAAAATGATGGTTGTCATAAATTCAAAAAAAAAAAAAAAAAAAAAAAATGGTTGTTTAAATTTTACACAAACAACTGAGTGATGTAATGCCTACAAGACCCTAAATACCATACATTGTTACAAGTTTGATCATATTTCATTTACAGTCAAGACTATAATCTCATCATCTATAAACCCCTTTAATGAGAATCGAACCCTAGCTTAATAATACTAAGGAGTTAGGGAAGAAAAAGGCATTAACAAGCTAGAGCTTCATTCCCTAGCTCTAGTTGTCCTAGTGTCATAATCCATGCATGATTAGATGTTACATTTTGTTTTTCATTCTCATTAATTATTAACACTTGTTAGACGGGTTGTTAGATTGTAAAATATTTGTTAAGCAAAATCTATAAATTATGAACACGTGCTTTTAGGATGTAAATTGTACTCCGTAATAGTAAAATATCTCGAATCGAGGAAGAAGAAATGCAATCTATGAAGATAAAATAGCAGAGAGTAGAGACCATCATATGATCTTCAAGTTTGGAAAACATTCAGAGTACCAAAGGAATAGTCCCTTTGGTCAAGTGGTCCAATATACATGCAATATGAAATAATGTATCAAAACATTAGCAGATTATTGATTGCATGAAATTTAGGTAAAAACAGAAAATGACCTTTGAATGTAAAACTTATGTCTTCACCTCTCCATTGTTACAATAACTACTCATCTATCTATCTATCTTTCCCTATGATACTTGATATCTCCTACAATAACAGCTATGTTTCATTGAAACCCATCTTTCTGAATTAAATTTTTTTTGTCACATGTTTTTTCAACATTTATCGAATGAGATGACATTGCCAATTATCTGTCATTGCGAACAATTATGGTTTTGCATGAGATAAACCACAATGAATTAATTTGTACAGTCTTTTGTTCTATTATTACATGTTGTGAAAAGTTAATATGATAATAGAACTACCATTAGAAACGAAGAAAGTATGTATTTTTTAGTAAAAGACAACTTGTATGTTTATCATTGTTATATAAATCAAAGTTAATTAATCATGTGTCAGGCTAGACTAATTAAATGATAAATATAAAAGTAATCAGAATAATGTGTCTATTAGTGGAGTAATTTATTTGACAGAAAGATATAATTGATTGATTGAGTCAAACCTATTCCATATTTAGGGTTTTATTTTGTTTGTTAAAGGTTTGATAAATGATAATAGGAGTGGTACACTTGAATGTGTTGATAATTGGGTGTTGGAGTAGTTGTCAACTAGTGCAAGCAGCAAGAGTGACAAGTTGGTGAGAGTACTTGAACTCGAACATGTGAGCAGTTAACGGGTTCAGTTAATAGCCCACAAAATATAAGGATTAACATGTGAGCACTATTTATGCCCCATGTGCCCATCTAATTCAATTTCATTCGTATATTTGTGTACTTATACTACAGTTTATATGTTCATTTAATATAACGCTCTATCATGAATGTTGTCTAGTTTGATTGGTTAAATTTTTAAGGAATGGTTGTCAAGATTTGGAAATAAATCCCGTTTACAATGTTTAGAATTGAAAAATATGCTTCAAATTGACCACATTATAATAGGAGTAATTTGAGCATGCCTGTAGACTTTTATCAATTATTATTCCGTAATCCCTTTTTTCTTGCATTGGTTGATTTGTACTCCACAATTTTTCTATTTTTATGGGGTACTTGTGGAGTCGTAATTGTTTTGAATAAATTGCACATTTATATGGAGTATAACCTAAAAAGGAATGAAGGAGTAATTCCTTAAAAGAAACTTGTGCTAAACCAAGTTTTTTTTGTTCCTTTTTTTTATATAAACAAAAAGCGAGAAGGCAAAGTATTAACTATTAAGTACTGTATTAATGTGGAGCTTAGCTTACATTAATTTCGACAAGCTAAGCGACCTCAAAGACTGGTCAAGAACGCAAGTGATCACATGAGCTACCGACCTACCGTACTTGGTTCACCGCAGCTTTCACCAAAATCTTGTACAGGTTGTAATTATAAGTCCGGTATTCGAATGAGTTTCAAATCTCATTTTGTAATACTTCCTCCAATTTTTTTTTTTTTTAATGATTATGTTATATATTACATTGTCTTAATTTAATTTATTGATTAATGTTTTTGATAGAGTATAAAACATATTTCTGAAACTCAACCATGAGCTTTAACTTTTGGTTGAGATGGTCATTTAACATGGTATTGGAGCCAGCGTGACAGAAAGATTACGAGTTCAAATCTCATCCACCCCCTACTTTTAAGTGGAATATTTCGTGCAGTGTAAAATATATTCCTATAAAGTAAAAGTGTAAAACATGATTTATCAAGATGTGATAAAAGTAAATTAAGTGGAAAAACACACCAACAACGCGACAAGGTAACAATGTTATGACAATATTATGTGACAAACTTAAAGTGACGCCTCAAATAGCTTAAAAGGCCACCTAAAAAGTTTTGTTCAATTCTCTTTGCCATATTTTTATTACTTACAGGTATAACACTACATGCATCAATTATATATGTTTGTTATAAAATCAAACCAAACCAAGCTAAATTAGAATAGATCAAATTACATAAAGATAATGAGTCGTACCAAAAATAAAATTTAGACTAGAACATAAAAAATCAAATGACATTATACCATACTACATCAAAACTTAAATAGTTTAAATTAAACTATTTTAGATAAGATGAAGATAACAAAGCCTAATTAAATAATGAAGAAAGTCGAATCATTAATATTTCTTCTTCAACTTTGATACAAATTTAAAGTATACTAGCTACTACATAACTACATTTGATTATTTGTAGTTCCTATCATTTCAATGTAGCATAAATACGTTACATTTTATTTACTAATATGAATACAATATTAAATGACATTTTATCATAGTAATGTAAGTTTTAACTAAATATAAATAACTCCTTTATTGTGTATGTGTGACAGATGCTAATATAAGCTCTACTATTATTAATATATTTTTGAATTAGAGGGAGTCTTATCAATCTATGTTAAGTAGACAAAAACAAGAATCATTTGAGTGAAAATTTGTCTAATTAAACAGTTAAACATATTCAAGTGATGATAAACTTGATGGAATCATGGCCCATACCTTTACGGTTAAGGGAGGTCCATTTGCAATTAATGGCCGGGACATTTGAACTTAGCATTGTGCTTAAATAGTTAAATGCTAGAGGACTACTAGTAGAAATAATCACATGCTTATTATTTTAGTCGATTACAATGTACATTAGCACTTGGCTTTCGGGCAAATTCGAAACGACTGAAAAATTAGTTTTCTTACAATTTTCACGTCGCTTGTTACGATATTGGTTTAAATTACACTGTCAATTGAACACATAATATCAATTCTGAAGCAGTATTTGTTTTATGGCCTAAGAGTTAACTATAGTCAAAGCATGGTCTTCTACTATTCGCGCATCAATTGGTCTAAATAGGTAAATAAAACCTCTTTTTAGGATCTTGGTTATTATCTATATTTACTAAAAAAAAAAATTTTAAAATAAAATAAAATTATACACGAATAACTTATGTCGTATTCATTAATTTATTTATAATGGTATGGGGTACTCTAAATAAATCTTAACCCACAAAATTTTTGATCTAGTATTTAGAGACTAGACACTTGAACTGAAATCCTTCTTAAATTTTGAATACATATGTACAATAATACAAGCTCACTATATGTGCTTAATTATTAAACGTTGTTAGCAAAATGATAAAAATAATAAAGCGTCATGAGCATGACACATGAGAGTTGGTGCCACCCGATAATTAATTTGAAAAATTGGTAAAATTAAAAAACTGATGGATATTATTATATGAAATTGTTAAAGTACAGAAATACTTATGAAAATAATTGATTATTAAATGAAACAAGCACACAATGCAAACTAGAACTTCTGGACGTGCTTGGCGTGAACGGCTGAAGGTCGGCATAACTGACCTAATCATTCTAGTCCTAATCTTAATTAAATACTCATTAATCTTATCATTAAATTTTGAAGTCTTCTAAAATAATTGCTACATTAATGTACTTCTTGCTGATCATCGTATCCATGGCATTGTTAATTACGGATCGGAGTACTACACTAGTTTACTAGTGCACGTACTTAATATAAAAATACTTGCATTTTGAAAATTAATAATAAAATATTTGATGGTGATATTCTGTGGTATACTCATGTTTACTAATTTGGTCCTCAATTTTTTCTTTTTGATATATACGGATTACAGAGTGCTGAAAAAGTTCTAACAATGTGTTTGGGTGAGGCTTGTGTCTTGTGGAATGGAGTAGAATCCATCCAATGTTGATTTGGTTTTTTTTTTTTGGTCATGGAAACTCATACCACTAATATTTAACTCTATTCTAATCCGCTATAATTTCATATCCACCTAACCTCTAAAGATTTCAATTAATTTTCCAAATCTATGTCACCCTAGATACAACCCTAACTAAATACAAATCCACTCCGATTCAACTCAAATCAAACATATTTAGCATGTGTTTTATTCACCTGATTTTTATTTATTTGAGCCTATCTGACCTTATTAAAACTTATTTTGATTACGTTATAATTTGAACTTAG